GAACGTACAAATAAATATGCTTACACCTGAACGTACATTGTTAATAAATGTAAGAAGGCAACAAAATGATTGGCTTAGGTAGTACAGTCATTACCTTGTTAGGAATTATTATGTGAAACAACTACATAATCAATTTTCTATTCCTATCAAAATAAAACATCCTTTAAGGATAAAGAGAACGCTTAACAAGCTACTTTTTCCGCTACTGATCCAGAATTTTCAACTCTAATTAAAACTTGGTTCTATAACGATTTTTCTTACCTTGAACACATGGTATAAGATGACAGAGCGCATTTCCAAAATACCAATTTTTGTAAATATTTGTTACCGGTGTGATGGGCAGAGAAAGTAGGCACATCATAACATCGCTAGCTGCCAAATTTAATATGAACATGTTCTGGACACTCTGAAACGTAATTTATTGTTGTTTTAACTGCATCTCTTGTCTGGTGGCTAAATTTATTTAAAAAAATCACATCAAATACAATTAGCTGGTCTCAAATCTAATTTTGAAAGCGCAAGAGCACTAGTATGATGAGCAAGTTTATGCTGTAAATTCTACTCCTAAGAGATTTCCATTCAGAGACAACCGAACTACAAACCAACAAGTCATAAAGTTTGCTATGATTTTCTGCAAAAGTGTGGAGACTATTCCTAATTTTTCTACTTGTCTGATAGAATACTCGAAAGGACGGAAACCGAATCTTATCGAAATTTGAAATCTTTTTTTGGATATGCCGGATGACTGAGTTTGAGTAGATTTGTTTAAAAAGTTCGTTTTGTTAATGAGAACTAATTTGTCGAGTGCCTAATACAATTACATTGCTCGCCCTCACTTCACGTTCTGCTTTTGTCACGACTGACAACAGCAAATTCATAACTTTTTCTGTCCACTATCAAACAAGCATTGAAAATTTCTTTCTAATTTTTGTGAAGAAGTAAAGCATGTATCGAAAAATTAGGCAGAGTTGAGTCTCAATGTTTAATAAACCATTGGGCGTTGTGGTTTTGTGGCTTTGTTTTAAACAACGATTCTACTTAAATCATGAAGAGCTAGAGATTAATTGTTTTTAGTAATTGCTACAATCATTTGGTTAATCTTTTAGGTTCGATATCCTAAACGCTGGGTCCTCACAGCAGTAAGAATACAGTAGGCCTTGCTTGTGACA